GCTTGGGGGCAAGGGAGAAGAATTTAGATTTGATTACAGGGATCATTAGAGCTGCAGTGAGAATCCAAGGCTGAGTGAAGTCATGGGGTCATGAAGATAATTAGGGACAGAGTATAGAGACCTAAGGAACCGGAGACTGCTTTAAATAGTGAATAGGCAAAAGAAGACATCCAAACGAATGGAAAAGCAAAGCAGAACAGTTAGGTCATAAGTACAGAGTTTTAAGGAGTAAATGATTGTTTACAAGTGCTTCAAGGATTAAACAGAAGTATTAAGTGAAGCCACTGAATTTGGCAGTCAAACGGTGACCTTTGAGAGAACCACTTCAGCAGGGTGATTAAATCTGAGGCTTAAAACAAAATTGGAGTGAAATGAGGAAATGAAGGCAGACAGAAATTTCCAAGAACTGTCAGGGAGATGGAACAATAGTATAAACAAAAGCCAGACTGAAAAGTGTGTGTATGTGTTTTGTTTTTTTTTAAGAAGGCAGACTTGAGATTTTTCACATAAATGTCTGGCTCAGTTAAAAACAAAATTTCAAAGAAAGAAGACACTTGGGGTGTAGAGGGAAGATGTGGAACTGCCTGTCCAAATAAAATTTTAAACACTACATTATGCAAAATATTTGCAGCTATACTGACTTGTCTCTGAATCTGCCTAGTAGTGTTAAGTAGTACAAAAGCAATGAACTTTATAGGAAACTATATAGATTTAACATTTTAAAAACACACAAGATGTATAAATCCTAAATTTAATAATGTGTAGAAGGATCCAGAGTTCTCTTATTTTGATAGTGCAGTTCTTGGAAGGCAGATAATAGTAAAAAAAATAGAAGTAGTATGTCTTTGCTGTACTCTTCATTTCTAGTTAACATATATTCTGTTTGCCCACATTTTATTCTTGGCTCATTCACATTTCCTGATTGGGTCTAAAGTCCTAGAAGGGAAGATAACCTGAAATGCAGAATGTTTTTTTCCCCCTCCTTTCCCTGGTAGAGAATATGATATGATATACAACCTAGTAGAGATATGATATACAACCTCTGTAAACTTAAAAAAGACATCACTGCTTTTAGCTTCTTGTGCTTGACATTCTAAAAAGCAATCATTCCATCTGCATTATGCAGTATGCCACAGAACAGAAAAGCCAGAGCAGAGATAGAGATTTACACTTCTCCCTAGTTGTCCTCTTAATTATCTTATCTGAGATACACTGTCAGTGCCAAACATAAGTCTTTCATGAAATAGACAAGGCATTCTAAAAACCAAAATTCTGTTTACATATCAAATTAGTTACATCAGGTGGGAGAAAGATTAAGCAAGAGCTCTACTACCACTCTGAAGATCTAAAACCCATCATGTCACTTTTTACCAGCTTAAAAGTATTTGGAAAACAATGGCACTTTTGTCCTCCCCTCAGGGGAGAGAAAGTCTAGAGGGAACGGAAGTAATTTAGCCCATCATCCTGGCACCCATACCTAACTAGTTTAGCAGTCTTAAAGTAATCCTCAGTATTCTAAAGTTGGCATGAATCAACTTTTGATAATTAAGTTTTAAGAGGAAAAAAAAATAGATTTTCAAATTGCAATTCAAGATCTTATGGTTTTGGCTAAAGACAGAGAAACAAGAACTTTTAAAGATGACAAGATGAAAATAAAATGTCAAATATAAGAAAATAATTACAAAACAAAGGTAAAAAGATTACAATTATCAATTTTAGTATTTATTGAAAGGTGGAAGACAAGGAAAATTCCTCTCAAACTCTAAAAACAAATCTTGCATCTTTGCTAAATGTAAAATGAATTTTTAGATATTTGCTTTACATGACAATGAACTTGTCCAACAAAATACCTGAATGCAAATTTACCAAAACAGTGCTAATCTATTATTTACAAACATGATCTTACCTGCCGTAAGTATTTGGGGAAAAAACTGTTTCACTCAGGAACACTAATGAAATACCTTGAAGACCTAACAAAAGAAATAAAATTTTTCCTGCCTTCCCTGGCCCCAACTCCCCCAAGTCATATAATGGATTAAAAATGGATATATGTGGAAATAAACATAATATTTCCAATAATCTTACACACATGCACACACACACATACACACACATACACATTGTTGTGCTAGATCAACCTAATCTTTATTTAAGGTCAACAGCCTTAGGGACAAGGGAGAAAATGAATATGGCTTTAGTAAAGTTTTCAACTAAATATCACAAATGTTTAATTCTTTTGCTAGCTAACCAGCTAACCTGAGTATGCAAAAGATACTACTTCTTAGCTAAAAGGGTATGAACAAAAGTAATTGAAACAAACAAACAAAAAAAGCACTGTAGCAGACACCACTGAGGTACCTTAGTTATTTTTTTAAAGGTCTGTGTATCAATTTAATAATTTACATAATCACTGTTTATATAGCATAAGATCATATAGAAACTACATCTTAAGTGCTTTATTATTCTGGTCCAACAAACTGGAAGTAACCAAAACAAAACAACAACAAAAAAACCTAACAAACTTGTGTTCAGATAAAGAACTGGAATGTACTAACTAGGAAACCATTAATATAATGCAATATTGAAATAGAAGTTATTTGTGTGTAACAAAGGTAGTCAGAAAGTTCTCAGATTGCATCTGAAGAGGATTTTAAAATTATAACCCGTAAGACAAGGAACATAGCATTATTCAAGGTGACAAGGCTATATCTTGAAATCTGAGCCCAGTGATTTGTATTTCACTTCCAGAGAAATGTATGCATTTTACAAAACATTACGTTTTCAAAATATGGACAAGTTTTGAGTATTGTTTATAAAAGAAACTATACCTAAAAGCAACCACTGTGGTTGTTTTAGATACATCTTTTAGTTAAAATTTAAGGCTCATAATATTTTGGATGGATACCCTAAAGACATTTTATTACCGTATGATCTCATGCATCTATGTGTATACTACTGGAAAACTGAAACGAAAACGTTGTTAAATATATCACCCTTCAATTAAAAAAAGAAAAACAGAAAAACATTTTAACCACATGCTCTCCTACTTCTCAATACTGGTTTGTTATTAACTTTTGTATCCAAAAGGTAGATGCAAACGATAAATTCAGCTTAAAAGAGAAGATTTAAGTGGTGAAGAGCAGGCTAAGGCAGTAACATATAAAACAAAATCCCTATTTACATTATCATGATTTATACCTTCCTTATCCCATGAAAATTCCTATGTTACAAACATTGATTTCCTGTAAACCACTGAGATTTCCTACAATATTTGCCTACCCTTTTAAACTGTGAGCCAGAAATATCACTGCTGCAATTATTTTTTCTCCCTAACCAGAAAGATAAGCAGTTTTATGGGTACCACAAATAAGGCTGGGACAGAAACAATTTAAATAGCAACACTAGCCCAAAAGAACCACAGTTAAAAGTCATCAACCAAAGTAAGAGCCCAGAAAAATACCAAAGGTAAATAAAATTGATCTGCAATGAGAATTCCTTATATCAAAGCTTACATTAAAGACATTTGTTTGACTTTCAATTACAGTAGTGGAAGCAGTCTCAAATAGTGCTGAAGTCCATCACTGAAGAGATTTGTTTTAAGCTTTAGGTAGGCACTGGCAATCATGTTTCTACCCTAATTTTACTTTCTAGAGCTTTTTTGGGGGGAAAAAAGTACTCTAAGTTGTTTACCTGCTAAGGTAGGGAGAAGGATCCTTAGAAAAATGAGGTAACACATCTTATTTTGTTAGTTCTATCTCTGTATGGCAGCTGAGTCATTGCCCTTACGATTTTGTATTTGTTGTATTTTCCTCCTGTTCTGCAAGAAAAATGTAAAAAAGGATTTTAACTGCTCACAACTAAACATTCTGTAACTAAAGATTTTTACTCAGCTTCTATGAAGTATATATAGTACAGATGCTGATTAGTAAGAAAATTTTCTCAACTTATCATTCCACACACTACAGAGAAAATTTACCTTAGGGCTATGCAATCTGGCCACAAAACTTCATTAGTTAGAAGAGTTAGATATCACTAACAGACCTTGTTTCTCCCAACTTTATAAAACTGTTTCTATTACCTAAACTGCTTTCTTAATGTTGAATATAAATATTTTAAAACATATTCCAGGGAGTGAGGCTAGGAAGTTTCACATATTCATCTTATTCAGCAATTTAAGAAGTTATGCAAAATATGATATACATATATATATATATATATTCCCATACATACATACATATATAAATATGCTTTCATAACTGAACCTTGGTTTTAAAAATGCTTACACAGTGTGGAGAATTTAAATATTCACTAGATTTGAATACGTACATTGCACTCCATTACCACTCTAAATGCATACACCAACAGAAACATAACAGACCAAATGATTTAACTGAATTGTCAGTTTGTCTTTATGCAGACCCAACAGAAAACATATTTATTATTATGAACCTTTATTAAGTGGCTCACATTTCAGTATAAATCACACTAAAAAGATTTTTTAAAAGCTATTTACACTACAGTGCTGACACAGTAAAATGAAAAAAAAATTGGTATAAATAAGCTCTATGGAAAAGCCTTTAAATTGTCAAAAAAGAATTCTGGCTCATATTACAAAATATATATATGTATATGTTAATACATATATATATACATATATATACATACATATGTATACATATATATATGTAACATATATATATATATATACATATATATATATGTTAATGTCAGCTCTATTCTAAAACCTACAATTCCAAATCCAATGATTTTTTTAAAGACTCCTTTTGTTTAAACCTGTAATGTTTACAGTGCATCTGGCCCTAAGTGCTTTGATACTTCACAGTTATGGACAGGCACTGAGGAATGTTACAAAGCTACATAAACTCTATTTTGTAACAGACTTGGGAGCAAGTCCTTGGCTTGCTTTCAGAATTCATGAATCTTTATTACATTATTAACTTAAAAAAAAAAAAAAAGAATTGTAAATGGTATGTACAAATTCAGCACAAAATGTCATCATCTTTTCTATCTTGATTTGAATGTGCTGAACTAGGTTGTCTTGTATCAACTAGACTTATGTGACTTCCAGGACATAATTCTTCCTTTAAATCTTTGTTGGTATTTTCAAATTTAGAGTCCACGTCAATCTTAAATTCTGTAAATTGAACATGATCCAATTTTGCTTTAACATTCTTGCCATCCATATTCGGTGCTCTAGTCTTTTCAGGAATATAAACATTCACAGGTTCTTCCTTGATTCTTACAGATGGAATAGGTTCATGTTTAATCTGCTGCAGTTCAGATTTAGAATGAAGTTTGTCTGAAAAATTAGAATCCAAGGAGGTTTTGCTTATAGCACAAAGCATGTGGTCAGTGTGAGGTCCAAGAACTGATGATGTGGTATCTGGTGATGTGCCTGTTTCATGAGTAGCTGTATTCTGTACAGTGTCCTCCTCTAAGTGATATAACTTGAGCCGAACATGCCATGCTAAACTGCATACAGCTGAAACTGTCTTGAACTGATGAACAACATTCCTTGGAATAAAATAAATGTCATTATCATACAGCTGAATTCTGGCATAACGGATGCCTTCCCTCCTCAGTTGATTAAGTTTTGCATCATCAACCCACTGGACACACTAAAAAAAGAGACAGAAATACCAGTAAGTCTTTTCCACAATAAAAATTAAACTGAAGACAATAATGGTTAAAGATATACCTGGGACAGTGGAGGTTCATGTAAATCTAACTGCATTCGTTGAACTACTTCTAAGAAATCTTCAGCATGAAAACAAATTACATCTTTGGTTATTCGGGGTTGAGCAGGCCTACAAAAACATGAAACAATGAAGAATCTTCCATTAATGTTTCACTCAGTTAAGTCCTTATTAAATTTTATGGTCAAAACAAAAGTACTTAGAAATAAAGTCAAAATGTTTAAATATGTAAAGACCACTTTACATATTTAAACAAAGGGATAAAACCATGAGTTTTGGCTTAAACATAAATAGAAAAACTCGCTTCATTTTATTATAGCTATGTATAACCGTATTTTGAAAAAGCAAAATAATTTGAATTGGTTAATTATAGAAATCAAAAAAGTAAGGGATTATCTTAAAGGTCAATACTTCAACAAATTAAATGCTAAAGATGAAATTACTAAATAAAAATTAGAGGTAAATATGAGAAGAGAATACTTTCAATAAAGACATATATAACCACAATTATGTGTAAAATTCCTAAGTCACTCTTAATAAATTAAGAGACATTCACTAGAAAAGTGCTACTAAACTATTACCACTCTATTTGCGGGGGATTAATAGTGTCTTTATAATTCTAAAAAATCCCCAAATTCGTCAATTAATTAGCAATATACAAATACATTTTTATAGAACATGCTAAAAAATGGATTTTGAAATGAAATTCCAAGCAACAGAACTACAAAACAATCATACCAGGGCAAATCATAAACAGATTTTTAAAAACCAGTGATAAAGAGAAAATCTACAACTTATACATTACACTGATACACAGGGAAAGTAGGGTAAGATCATCAGGGACAATGATGACACAGTAAGCACCAAGTGAACCTTAGTTTTTCTTTAACCTTAGTTAAGGCAATTGTTTTTACTTCTCATCACTTAGAAAATCAAATTATTACGGTCCAACCCAAAAGAGTAAACGCACATTCTAACAATTAAAAAATTTTAGTGCAGTCATACAATTAGTCATACAAATACAGAGAAAAATGGAACTTTCTTTCCCCACAGGAAGAATTACTGAGAAACTTCCCAAGAAAAATTTTAGAAGCCAAGAAAACCTTTCATTAAAATAGCAGCAGTCAAAAAAAAAAAAAAAAAAAAAAAAAAAAAAAAAAAAAAAAAAAAGAAAAGAAAAAGCAGTAGTTAATACATACCACTCTCCACAGTGCACAGCCTTCAACACTCCAACAGCAGCTGTAGTCTGTCGTTCAAAACCTTGTCCTATATGATCTGCATGGGCTCTTGTCCTGTCTTCAAAGAGCATCTCACGGGGCTCACTGGTTCGAGGTAGGTACTGCAGGTTTTTTATTTCATTGGTAGTTCTGTTAAAATAAAATCAAAGATAGACAGGTAGGAAGGGAGGAAGGGAGGAAGGGAGGGAGGAAGGGAGGAAGAGAGGGAGGGAGGGAGGGAGGAAAGAAGGAAGGAAGGAAGATAAATAGAGGAGGTGGGGAAAGAGGCTGGCCTACGTATTAAAGCTTAATCGCCTTCAAACATTTGTATTGATGTACTGAGGCTTAACTGCCATCAAGGATTTAGTAATTACATAATTCAGACAAAAGGAAATTTTACATCACCTGCTCCCAAATCAAGTTCTATTTTTAAAATGAACAAGTACAAACAAAAATGCATATAATCCCCTCCTTTTTCTAACACAGTCTTCACAAAAGTGGCCACTGTAAGGTGGATAAACAACTAAATCATAGATGTTGTGGTTTACCCAGGTTCCCTTCCAGAATCTTTACCTGAGGTTTGGGTCTTATCTGTAGAACCATGCCCCTCATTCAAATCACGTGGCTAATGTAAGATATATTATCTGGAACAAACAGGTAACTTTCAAAAATGGGTTAATTAATATTTATAGAATACCTACTGTATATTAGGTGCTATCTAGGCACTGCAGCTAGTGAACAAGACAGTAGTGAATAAAACAGACAAGTTCCCTACTTTCATAGGAGTTGATATTCCAGTGGAGAAAGACTAACAAATAAATAAATAGGAAGAAAATACCAAATAGTAAGTACTTCCACAAAACATGCATGATTTATTGGAGGCAGAAAGGAAAACCTTAGCTCCCTCTTAAAGGACATCCACCTGCATTCCCCTATGGCTCACCTAGATAAGCATACAGAAGCTGCTACTTAGTCTCATTCAATGCAAAAACCCTCTAATTTTGCTGCAAAAGGGGAAAAGGGTGAGAACAATTTCTTTGGGAGTCATCATCTTGTTTATCTTCCTATGTGGTTTTCTGTTGCTTTCAGAGACAAATCCAGATTGCCCCCATAATTTTCTCCTCTCATCCTAGACTTAACCCCTAGAATCACTCTTATTAGCTCTCTAATTTCCCACTGTCCATCTCTACTACCACTGCTCTTTGTGCACTCTTGTATTACAACACACACACACACACACACACACACACACACACACACACACACGTGATGCTACAACATACTTTTTTGCCTTTTGTGACTATGTTCTACAGGTGCCAGAAAGCTAGATGATAATTCCTGTGGAAAGCTAACAGGCTTTCAAGCCTACAATTCTAGTGTCATTAACACCACATTCTAATGAATTAAAACTTTATATGAAACATTTAGCACAGTGCCTTGGGCAATATTGTTATTAGTTGGTCAGACTACTACGTGATATATAATCATCACATATACATGGATTCTAATCCCTGAGGGCAGGCAGTTTCCTCACAGGGCTGGTGAACTCCCTTAAATCACATGTAAAATTCTGTGTATATCTGCACTGTTCTGGGGAGAAGCTTTCACAGTATATTTCTCACTACAAAGAATGCTGAAATTAACATTCTTATACATTTACCTTTAGTGATTTCATTTCTTAGGACAGATTCCCAAAAGTAGTAGCTGGATCAAACAGTATATATGCATTAAACTTCATGAGCTATTGTTAAATTACTTTCACAGAATGATTATAGCAGCTCACCTTTCTACCAACAATATATAAATGGTTCTGTTTCCTCATACCTCCCAGCCTTCTAATACTTTTTGTTTGCCAATGTAATAGGTAGAAATAGTATCTCATGATTCTTTTAATATAACTGGCTGAAGCCTATTTTTCTACTGGGTTGTGTTACATTTTTGTTGTGAATTTGGGAATGCTTTTTGTATATTAACTTTAGTCTGGCACACAATATAAATGTTTTAGTCCAGTCTATAATGGTTTTGAACTTTGTTGTTCATGTCTTTTTTCTCACAAATAGTATTACTATTATACTAGATAATACTAGATAGTATTTCTATCTTATTTGGTCTCTCCTAGGTTTAAAGTTTTTATTCTTATATTTTAATTTTTTATCCATTATGTTCAAATCTCTGACTTCTTGATAAGGGCTTGAGATAAGGGCTATGGTTTTGTTTTCTTTCAAATGGACTTCAATTATGCCAGCATTACTCATTAAATAAATCTTCCTTTTCCCATCCATCTCATACATTAAGGTCTCAACATATTTTGATCTATTTGGATACTCTATCGTATTCCAGTGACGTTTTTGAGCTTTAGAATAATTTTTAATATCGAGTAATACAAGGCCCCCTCACTTATCTTCTCTTTCACAGTTTTCTTGGAAATTTGTTGACTTTACTTATCCTTCCTTCTTTAAAATCATTAAATCCAGTGCTGGAAGTGTGAGTCCAACTGGAATGCTAAAAATTTCAAAGGACACTCATTTTTATGCAATCTAGAACACAGTAGGGTTTTCCATTTATTTAGGTTATTATTTTATATCCTCCAGGAGATGTTTTAGTTTTCTTAATATGGGTTCTGAATATTTCTTATTAAATTTATTCCAAAATAGTTTATAATGTCTTTGTTGTGAATGACATTTTTTCCCATTCCTACTTACAATTTATTGTCATTTGCCTACATTACTCAAGCCTCATTTATACTTGATATTTTATAAAAAAAAAAATTATCAGCACGTGTAGCCATTTTTGAATTTACATTTCAAGTATGCTCTAAACTTTCCCTTCCTTCTTTCTCCAATTTCCAACAAACAAACACACACACACACACACACACACACACACACACACACACACACACACACACACCCAGTGTACAGACATCTATCCCTGGCAATAAAAATTTGTATTCAACATACCTTTTCCTTTTGAAAGGTGACTTTGGCATATCAGCCACAGGGATCATTTGTTCTCCTGGGCGCACCCACATGATGGGACCATCATCACTGTCTTTTCGACTCTCTAATTTTAGACTAGATAGTGTCCCCCATGGCAGTGTACACTAGAGGCAAAGAGTTACACAGAAACCAATTATTTTCAAAATGCATCTTCCAACATACATTAAAGAATACTGCCCCCTCGACAAACTTTCATATATACCTTTATACTTATACATTTAAAACACATACCTATTTTGAATATATTCCTATGTATTTATACATTTTCCTTCAAAAAATTCTATTTCAAACATATCAAGAGTAATTATTCTCAGATGGTTCTCTCCTCTAACCCTGGCAGAATATGATTTACTACATTCATCATTTGTTATTCCTCCTTCTACCAAATAAAAGGGTCATGTGATGTTAATAAGCTGGCAAAATAAGCAAGTGTTCTCCATGAGAATCCATAAAAATGAAATGAGTTATAAAAACTAGGCATCTCAAAAAAAAAAAAAA